CACGAACAAAAAAAAAAAAAGATTCCTTCTGCAAGGACAGAGAGAGAGAAAAATGAGCGACGGCGGGTTTTACATTACTTTGCCCAGCAATGCCAGCTCTGCAGTTTTTCCCCAAAACACCATCTCGAACTTTACAATATGGCTAATTAAGCCCTTGGATCTCCCGGGTGCCTGGGAGGTGGGGTTAGCGGAAATACAATAACCGCACAGCTGGAATACTATCAACGAAGACACCCCTTTCAAAATCACCTTTGGAGCTACAACGTGGAATTTCATCCTACGACGAGGTTATTACTCGACCATACCCGAATTACTGGAGCATATGAACAGCAACGTGGCTCGTCATCCTGCCTGAGGTGGTCATGAACTATGACCCTGTGGGTAGAAAAGTGAGTCTTAAATCTACTGATTTTATGTACATGTTTTCTACTGACGGGGAGCTAGATAACATTCTGGGTTTAGGCCACAAACGCAACGTCCAAAAATTCCCCTTCTCGGCAGATATCACAGGAGGTTTTAACTCTTTGTATCTATACACGGATGTCGTAGAACACCAGTTTGTGGGGGACTTTTCTGTTCCCCTGTTATGCTGCGTCCCTGTCCGAGGAAGGAACAACGAGTTTGTTACCATCACCTACGACAAACCTCATTACGTCCCTGTCAGTAAACACCACATCGACACCATCACCATTGAAATAAAGACAGATCAGAACAGACATGTCTCATTTTGCTTCGGCAACGTGATCGTCAAGCTGCATCTGCGGCTGCGGAGAGAGCGAGGTTTCTAAAAAAGCAAAACCCTATTATGGCGATCCCAAAAAATTATGGCGACCCCACCATCTACAGGAACTATTACAAAGCCCAGGCTGGATACGCCCTTCCTGGATATCATGGGGCCCCCGTGATGTACGGGGCGGGTGTGGGTGGAATATTTCGTAGCCTCTTTTGAAAAGCCATACCGCTTTTGAGGAGGGGGCTAGAGATTATTAAACCCCACATAAAAACCACCGCTCAAAACATAGCTAAAGATGTGGTAGATCATGTCTCCCGTGCTGTTCTGGAGAAGGTGGGGAATACAGCTTCACAGGAAGGATCGGGGCTGATGTACATTAAAAGGAGGAAGAGAAAAAAAATACGTCATACCCGCGACGCACAGGTCCCCCGAAACCCTTTAAAAGAAGGGCTTTGACACGCAGGGCCGGCCATAAGCGAAAGTCCAAGAGGAAGCCTGGGCGAAAGAGGAGACGCGCTCTGCCTTGTAAAAGAGACATATTTTAATCAACATGGCTTTTGTTCACTGCGGGTCTGAAGAGTGTACCAAATCCGAACTAGACTTGTTTCAAATAGCCCCTACGCAGACCAGCATCGAGAAAAGCATCTACATCAAGGTGCCGCCTCTATCGGCCATTACAGAGTCTGCCCCCATTGACTTTTTTATAGCAGGGAATGGCATAGATTATATGGATTTAAACAACACACTGCTGTACCTGTGTTGCAAGATTGTCAAAGGAGACGGAACTGAACTCGCCGTGGACGCCGAAGTGGGTCTGGTGAATTACCCCGTGGCCTCTATTTTCAGTCAGTTGGATGTCACGCTGGGAGACCGCCTCATAAGCCAAAGCAACAACTGCTACCCTTACAGGGCCTTTATAGAATCGGTGCTCAATTACAGCAACGACACCCTCGCCACGCAATTTTCCGCCGGCCTGTTTTACAAAGACACTGCTGGACAACATGAAGAAACAGAGTTGGATGGAGGGAATCTAGGGTTTATGAGACGTGCAAAGCTGACGGCCGAGAGCAGAACGGTAGAGCTGCTGGGCCATTTACACAGCGACCTGTTTTTTCAAGAAAAACTTTTGTTAAATGGAGTGGATGTGAAAATTAAACTGACACGCAGTAAAGACGCTTTCTGTTTAATGGGCAGTGCGGCTGAAGGCTTTAAACAGTGCATTGTATCAGCGTCCCTTTTTGTGAAGAAAGTACGGGTGGCCCTGGGAGTCCGTCTGGGGCACGCGGAGGCCCTGTTTACCGCTAATGCTAAATACCCCGTGGACCGTGTGGGAATGAAAGTGTTTAGCTTCCCCGCGGGCAGCAGGGTCAGTAACTAGGAGAACCTTGGGCATGCCTAGCCTTGCTCAAACCATGTTTCATGTCAGAACAACCATGTGGCTTTTAAAATGCATGTGGGGTTTTTGAAAAGTGTATGGCTGCAAACTTGGTTTGGTGTGTTTTATAAAGCTGCTGTTTTGTGTGTGTGTGTGTGGGGCCTGTGCAAAGCATTAGTTTTTTTTTTAAGTACGTGGTTTGTTTTAAACAGGGCTTTTTTTTTTTTACTGTGCATAATATGATGGGCTTTTAAAATGGGGTTTGAGGCACTTGGGGTAGGGGTGAATGCTACTAACTAAACCAAAGGCACATGGTTGGGGCAGAACAACCATGTGGCTTTTAAATGCATGTGGGTTTTTTGAAAAGTATTTGGTTGCAAACTGTGGGTTTTAAACTGGTGGTATGTGTGTTTTAAACTAACAAGGGTTTCTGTGCAAAATGGATTTTAAAAGCAGTTTTGGTTTTTATTCTGCAAAATGAGATGTATTTAAAAACCTGTTTGTTGTACAGCCTGAATTGGATTATTTTGTTGTAAAGCTATGACTTTTTAAATAGAAAAACACCCTAATGAAGTGTGTGTGTGATATGTATGTTTACAAGACGGTTTCATGTGTTTTATAATAATGTTGTTGTTTGCTCCACAGTACAGTCAAAACATGAGAGATCCTTAGACCAGAGGGAAAACAAGCTGAAAAGAAAAAGGAAAGAGACCGCTGAAAAGGAAAATTCACCAGCATCAGTGACTGATGGATGGATGAAGCCCTGTAAATATATTTTGCTTATTGGTTTGGTTGTTCTATGAGGTTTTGTATTTTAAGTAAATACATAGGTGTGGGTGAGAAGGATGGTAAAGTTCAGTTTTGTAAAATGTTTTTTTTTTTTTGATCCTCCCCGAGGTATTGCAACAACACAACCACAACTCCAGTTCCTTAGCGGCCGCCGCCACACCAAAC